AAATATTTCATACGTGTAATCATTCTTGTGTGGACAAAAATATAATACAAAGTATAATACAAATGATTATTCTTAACTAAAATGACAAAAATGGCATAAAAACACTGATTGATTCTAATACGGGTCATTTTTGACCCACTTATGGAAGAGTGTAGGGTCCAGACACTCATGCATCTTCTAAGGGTTAAGTAGGACACTGTTTCTAGAAGGAAGTTGTGCTGTTGAATATTTGAAATGCCTCTTTATTCCACCCATTGTTTTGGAGTGGAGGCAGAATTCTCAGAAACTTATGTGTATCTATAGTCTGGGAAAATAAAATGTAAACTATCTGCGTGGAGAGTATGAAAGCATTTTAGCAGCTGGATTTTCAGTACAGGAGACTTTAAGTCAATTTAAATTAACTTAAGTTATCAATTATAAAATGTTAATGGACCAGCGGTAATAACTACTTCACAGTGCAGGATGTGCTCATGCAACAGAAACCAGATCCTTTTATATCCTGCTGTTGAAAATAACCTTGACTCTACCACAGTACAGGGGAGTCTGTCCCTTATCTCACCATTAAACTAACACAAACAACCACTACAACAGCGAAATTACCTCCCCCTTACAAAACTGGAACTGTTGAATTGGCTGTTATTTTAGAAAAGTATATAGAAAAATAAGAATATAAATTCCTGCTAAAAGTACACATAACACCCCCACTAGTACACCACTTGGTCCCTCCTGGATTTTTTGAACATTGTTTCAAGCAAAGAGAATACTCACGATTGAAGACAGTTATTAAGAAATGAGCTAGAACTTCAACACATGGGCTTCTGTACATTCAGTTTATACATTATTATAATATCCTCATCTTCACATAAAGAATTGGATGTGGGTACTTTTTTGAGAGAGATATGACAGATAAATGATTTCAACAAAGACGTTGCACTAACTGCCTTCATCACTTCACAAATACATTACAAAGCAAAATCTAAACTAATTAAATACATTCTACCCCGGAAGTTTTTGCCATTATTTTGACAATTTTAACAGAAAAAAAAGGTTTTAGTAACAGAGACGTCCTTCATGGTAGAGAAAGAGGTAACAAATGTTTATTTTTCAACAAACTAACGCTTTATGCTTATAACCATATGTGAGTTGATATATTACACACATCACAGCTGAAAGTCTTGACTGTTGATCTTTTCTTTTATTCCAGTAGGCAACTAATTGTCTCTTTAGTACAATAAATAACTCACTCTGTTTTCTCAAAGATTGAGCACAGTAAGATCTACGGCCCTCTGTGGAAGTCAAAGTACGGCCCTCTGGTTGTGGTGAACGTGGCCAGCGCCGAGCTGATAGAGCAGGTGCTGAGGCAGGAGGGGAGACACCCGGTCCGTACAGAGATGCCCCACTGGAGGAAATACAGAGAGCTCAGGAACCAGGCCCAAGGACCCCTGACAGAGTAAGTAAAAGCCCCCATATATGCTGTAGCTTTAAGTTAAAATAATTAAATAAATACGTTTGTATGTATGTTGAGTATGTAGTGTGTTCACAGTGTAAAAGTAAACTACACTTCAAACAGTGCCAAATAATGCTTGATTTTCGAATGTGCTATATAGTTAGTAGTAGTATCTCTCAGGCCAGAGGAGGAACCCATAGACAGATGTACACATACAGATTGAGGACAGAGGAAGATGCTTGTTTTGAACTCAGGCTGCTGCATCCTTGAAAAAGCTTTGTACGATCTAATAAATAATCTGGTTGAAAAAAGGGTTGCTAGAGAGACTACTGCATTAAGTTTCTGTGTTCTCTGCACTTGATTTGTACTTGACGGGGTTCATAAACAGTGCACAGTGTGGGAGGGACAAGGGATCCGTCTGTGCTTGCACCTCTGTTTTGGCTTTGATCCCGATGTGAGGGTACTAACATAATCAACAGCTTTATTACAAATCTTAACACATGCAAAGGAAGCTCCCGCATCTGGGCCATTCACTCCCATCAGACCTAAAAAGGCACGAGCATTGTAATTAGCTTTGACTGATTAATTGCACCATATGCTCACTGGTATTTCGTTTTTCCTGTCAGACTTGTTGTGGTAGGTCTCGTTTTTGGCGGTGAACGCTGTGACACCACAGAGAGGCTGCCAGAGACGGGCCTGCACTCTGACTGTCTGGCCTATAAGACAACTTGAATAATTCAAGTGTTTTTATAATGTTTCATTTAGTTCATTCCCAAATGAAAGAATGGTTTAGAGTAAAGCGAGAGGAATCAAATGTTCTCTTCTCTATTCATTACGACATTGTATACGTGTCTTTGGATAAGTCAATTGGATAGTAAGAATAAGGCTGGCGTTATTCTCTATGTTTCTTATTGTGAATTGTGAAAATTTCACAAATGTATAGTTTTATTTTAAAAAAAAAAGATTTCTAAAAGAGCTTGGCCCTGCAGTTTTAAGAGAACGTCACTCAAACAGGAGGGAGTGGGGCATTCAGATTTTGTGAGTGTTTCAGGCAGCAGGATGTTGTAATTGGAATTGAGTCAAAATAAACAACAGTGTGTGTGTTCATGGTAATGAAGGAACATGTCACCCAGTTTTTAGACATTGGAGCTCTATTGCGCAAAACAATGCAATACATCAGGCTTTGACTATACATGCAGTACTTGTTATTATAGGATCTTACTACAGTACTTGTTTTTATGGGATTTGCTGATGGAATGGAAAATATAGGATACCTGCAGCCTCAACATTACAGGAAAATAGAAAAAAGAGGCATGGAAACAACAAATGCCAAATTAATACATTTCCACGTATAAAATGGAATAATTTCAAGGACTGCATGTTGGTCTCATGCCTTTCACTATTAAACAACTTTTTTAATTTAATTAATTAATCCTCACTTGTAGAATCGGGGCCAAGTGGCAGCGCATCCGCAGCATCCTGAATCCCCGGATGTTGAAGCCCAAACACGTCTTGTCGTACGCTAACACCATCAACGAGGTGGTGACCGACTTCACCGAAAGAGTGGCCTGGCTGAGGGAAACCAGCGGCAGGGGAGTTATGGTCAATGACCTGACTGCAGAACTCTACAAATTTGCTTTTGAAGGTCAGCAGAGGACAAACAAATTAAATGTTTGCGTTTAATCTGCGGTGGAAACTTTTTTATTATGTGAAAACATCTTAAATAGTAATATAGAGGTAATTAGTAGTCACTGGTATAAGAAATCTGTGTCTCTGTTAGTCTTGGCAAAAGAGGTTTGTCTATAATTTCATCAAAAGTTAGTTCCAAAATCGCAGGACATGACAAGAAGAAGACCAGAAGCAAACTATAACACATGAGGTACAACTTAAGATAATCAATTTAGAATCAGGAACTGCACACCCTATGCCTCCGCTGTTGAATTGGCTTTACTTATTTTTCTTTATCATATTACATGTTATCTCTAAAATACAACCATGGTAGCTGATAGAGGGAAATGCTATCAGCATTGCTGTAAGTGTCCTTGACTCTTTCACTACTGCAGACCTTAGTAGCCGTCTGACCTACTTCATCTAGCTGCTTCTCTCTGTGCTGAGACATCACTGGAGATCTTATAGAAGCCCTTTAGAATTTCCCAACCTGAAAGTGTTTTGTAATGATTGAACAACACATTGACTTCTTTATGTTAGCGGAGCAGAGACTTAAGCGGCTATTAGTAGAGCAACCTGTTGTGCGTGTATGCTCCAGATGTTGACTTTGACAAAGTTGTTAAGTCTTTTGGCCTTGACAGCTGATTAGATACTGTGAGATAGTCCTAGTACCTTATATGATCACAAAGGTAGGTTTAGGCATGTTATATGACCTTTAATTCAGGTCCTTTTCAAAGCACATAGTTTTAATATTTCTAAATTCACTTAAAGCACTATCCAGATTGGATTCATATTACAGGAGCACACGGGTAATAAAATATTTACCTGCTTCAAAATAGTTAAAGAAACAGTTTACCATTTTGGGAAACACACTTAATAGGAGATAGATACCACTCCTTTCTGTACACTCCTTTACTGTTCTGAAGCTACAATGAAGCAGCCGGTTAGCCTAGCTTAGCATAAAGCCTGGAAACAACAATTTTTCCATCACCTGTGAACATATCAAAATCATTTACTTACTTTCTGCCTATTATGTTTTTACTGTTAGGGACTGTTAGACATAGAAAATGACACATACACCACCTTAGTTTCAATGGAAAATTTCACAATTTCAAGCTCAGTCTTGTTTTTGCTCATTCTTCCTACCTCTTTCTTCAGTCACCTCTCTCTTCCACATTCCCATGCATTTTCTTACCTTCATTGCCATTCTCCTTTCATCCACCAGATGCCGTCAGGCTTCATCTGCCCTGCAATAACTCCAAACCGACCCCTACACCCTCCCACTCTGTGACGGTCTCTTTAGGGGGTAGGGTATAAATACCCCAGCAAGCTTTCTAAATTCTGAAGCACATAAACTGTATACACTAAAGCCATATGTGATTTTTGATCATGTCATTTCAAAACCATAGGTAATAATCGGATGCTATAACAGCCTCCACTCTTCTGGTTTCAGACTTTATACCAGATGTTGAACAGCATTAATGAGGTCCAACACTGATGTTGGGTGATAAAACCTGGGTCACAGTCAGTGTTCCAGTTCATCCCAAAGGTGTTAGATGGGGTTGAGGTCAGAGCTCTGTGTAGGCCAGTCACACCAAACTCCACACCAAACTGGGCAAACCATTTCTTTATGGAGTTGGCTTTGTGCACAGTGGGCATTGTCATGTTGAAACAGGAGAGATGGTTCCAAAAACTCCAAAATCTCTCTTTATGCTATAGCTGTCACAATGTCTGCCTATGTAAATAAATATTGCTGTTTAGAATGCTAATGAATGTTCCTGTTTCTATCAGAGAATGGTGAGGGTGGCCCAAAGTTTGCTGGGGTATTTACATCATCCCCCCTTGAGAGACCGTCACACAGTGGGAGGGTGTAGGGGGCCAGTTTGGAGTTGGTCCTGGGGCTAGAGATAAAGGGGTCATTTCAGGGTGGATGAAGTCTGAGGACATCTGGTGGATAGAAGGATAATAGCAACAATGGTAAGAAAATGCACGGTAATGGGGGAGGAGAGAGGTGACTGAAGGAAGAGGAAGGATGAGCAAAAACAAGACTGAGGTAGAAATTGTGACGATTTTTCCATTGAAACTAACTAACTACTAACATTATACTATATGTTCTTCAGAATGTAGGAAAATCACAGACCAGTTGTGTTATATTCAAATCAACTGCTCTGTCCGGTTACAGAAACCAAGCTGTCTCTGTATAATCGTTTTTTCTGCAGGGATCTGTTCAGTGTTGTTTGAGAGGCGTATGGGCTGTCTGAATGAGATGGTGCCTGAGAAAACACAAAAGTTCATCTTCTCCGTGGGGGAAATGTTCAGGCTCTCCCCAATCATCGTCCTCTTCCCCCAGTACATGTGGCCCTACCTGCCTTTCTGGAAACAGTTTGTGGCAGCCTGGGATTATCTCTTCAAAATCGGTGAGCAACATTTGTTTACACCAGCGTATCAAGGTGTAGCATGTTTTAGGCCATTTTGTTACAGAAGGACGGCTGCTAATTAACATGTAGTGATGTTCATATCAGTAAGGGATTCAAATATTATTCCCTTGAATCCTGATATTCTTTACTTTATATGATCGAATCCATTTGAAGAAAGACAAAACTTGCTTGGAAGAGCAAGAAAAATACCAGCAAATGTGCTGTGTTGTACAAATGTATATGTGTATGTATGTTGTAAAAATAATATGAGAGACTACACACCAGTCACTCCCTACCAGAAGTACTTGTACCAGGGTACATCTGTAGTTACAAAGGGGTACTTTGAAAGATTCAAGAGAAGCTCAACCAATTGGTATGTGTGTGTATACTGTATATATCCATTTACTGAGTCAGCTGTAACACCTGAATGCTACATAGCTAGCAAGCAAGCAGAGAATTTTAAAGTAATGGGAACATTTGAACAGTTAACAGTAAAAAGTAAAAGTAATGTATACATTTTATGGAAAGTTAAAAGTAGTTGCTTCTAGTGGGAGGAGTGCAAATGTAAACTTGTCCAAACTGACCTAAACATTTAGAGTTCAACTTTAACATCCATACATTACAGAAAAGGGTTAAAAAAACCCACTGATATACACATTATATTACTTATATTAAAAAAAGGAAACGTCACATGTCACTTTGTGGTAAAAACTTTAATACTTTTTAAAGTATTACATGTTTTTCAATGTACTGAGATATGTTAAACCCTACAGGCTCATAAAACCCTTTCAAAAACAGTTTAAAATCCAGGCAAGTCCCAAAAAACACATGCTCATTTTAGACCTGGTTTCAGAAGGGCTCTTGTAGGCCTTGAACAGCTGCTCAGTTCACTTAACCTCCAGCTCTGGTAGTGGTAGTGGATGCCTCGGCCACCCCCATTACTGATTGTTGTCATAAAAGGTTACTAGAGCTCAGGCTTCATGGACATTTTTAGTTTGTATTATCAAATAATCTAACCCCTGACTTTGGTGACTCCCTCAAAGAACAAAGTCCACCTCACAGGTCCTCCTGCCCTTATTCCACGTCAGCCTCTGAACAAGATCCCTCACGGTGTGTCTCTATCACCATCTAGTGGGCAAAAGTGTCAAGCCTGTCTCCTCTTCGTGTTGGCTCTCACAGCATGAAAAAATGAAAACAGATGGATTTTCCCTTTTGTGTCTCATAGCTGAAGAGTTGGTGCAGAAAAAGATGGAGGAGATCCAGGAGAAGGTGCACCTGCAGCAGGACGTGGAGGGAGCGTACCTCACACACCTGCTGCTCAGTGAGAAGATGACGGTCACCGAGATCCTGGGCAGCATCACCGAACTCCTACTGGCAGGGGTCGACACAGTGAGTAGATATAGTGCGGGTGCACTGTGGAAGGGGGGTTTACTGTACTGTAGTTGACTTTACGTGACATTTAGTAGCTTAAAGGATTTTTTTTGTCAGCACGAATTGTTTTAAGGTTTAAGCTGCTATATTACAACACATACTTTAGACCGGCTTCTCATTAAAATTATAGCCACTGAAATGTAACCTAGACATCTACAAAACTTTCACTTTTCAACCCAGACATCTTTCAATCTAAAGATCACCAAGTCAGTGCTCAGGGCACAAAACGAACGAAACGTTACATCAAAAAACAGATGACAACAGCCTGTATTCCTCTCTGTTGCAGACCTCCAACACTATCTCATGGTCTCTGTACCTCTTGGCAAAGGACCCAGAGATACAAGAACAATTATACCAGGAAGTGATAAGTGTTTGCCCTGGAGACAAGGTGCCAGCCAGTGATGACATTGCTCGGATGCCATATCTAAAGGCCATCATCAGAGAGACGCTACGGTTAGAGGGATTCTTTCATTTTTATCAATATGTTATATCAATAGGACACCTGCCTGCAGGAGCTGCAGGTTCTGGCAGTGACCAGTAGTTGGTTTGGTTGTCTAAAGTGTGTTTGCTCTGAAGGTAAGGACATAAAATCACCTGAGGTCAAAAATGTCTCTTTTATTACTATACAAATAAAAATACTGAAATCGATTGACAAGACTTGATATATATGATAGTTATAGATTTAAAGGAATAGTTTGTTTGCTTTTTAAGCTAACTAAGAGTTTATCTCTCTACTCAATATGAAGCTGGAGCCAGGAGATGGTTAGCTCAGCTTAGCATAGAGACTTGAAACAGGGGGAAACAGTAAGCCTGGCTCTCTCTAATGGTAAAAAAATAATCACCTACCACCAACTTTAAACCTCACTAATTAACAGTGTTTGTTTAATTCATGGAAAAAGCAAAGTGTGAAAACAAAATTGCTGGTACAATAACTTTTCTGAGCTGCTAAATGTACGATTTGAAACGGTCCATGGGAGATTCCTGCTGGGTCCTTGGCTAAAATGAGAACCCCCTTAAATTATGTAGTAAACCAATTTTAATGCTATATCTATCCCCCAGGAGGAGCACTGATTATAGAAGCTGAAACACTTTACTGCCATCAAACTGCTTTAGTTTGACCTTTTTACCTCTAGTTTGCCCATTGCTTCCGGAAATCAGCTACTCAGTTACTGCCGCATTTGATGAAGCTGCAGATGCAATCATCTGTGCACTAAAGATGTGTCTAAAGATTTCGTTTTAAGGTGCCAACAGATTTTGAGCCCCTAAGAATGTTCCAGAGTTATTATTAATAGTTATAATTAATAAAACAATGATTTCTTTTCACATAATGTTGTATGACTGTATGACTTAGAGGTGTGAAGAGCAACAGTTGCTTTTGCCAAACTGCATTTTTGTTGACTCTTCACTGTGCTCTGTGGTCACCAGGCTGTATCCAGTGGTACCAGGAAACGCCCGTCTCACTGTTGAAAATGAGATTGTGGTGGGAGATCATCTCTTCCCCAAAAAGGTGAGACATGTGTCAGACACGACGCAGGTCCTATAAAGTTCACTGATTAATGAGAGAATGTGGTGTTCTTGCTGTAGTCAGGTGGGTCTTTTCTGTCCTCGTCATGCCATATGTGGCCATTAACTTTAATTAATACTGAGAATAATTAAGACTGAGAATAACTGCAACGTATTTGCCATTCTAGGCAAAATTGCCAAAATTAGCACATTATTATGAAATAATTTGAACCTCAATAGAATAAAAACTATATTTCTGTCCCATGAAGATAGTCTTTAAGAAAGGTACTTTAAAACTCTGAATTTTATTTTAGATTAAAAAACAAAATCATACACAGGTCCAGGAACACCACAGACAACCAAAACAGTACTAATAGTTTGGATAACATTGTACTCAAGGCTAACTGCAAAAAACATTGCATATATGTAATATTATATTACATTGTAACAGCAATGTCACCATTTGCAGACGCTGTTCCACCTGTGCCACTACACTGTGTCCTATGATGAGAATATTTTCCCTGACCCCCACGCCTTCCTGCCACAGCGTTGGCTCCGAGGAACGGAGGAGAAGTCTAAGCACCCGTTTGGGTCAGTGCCTTTTGGTTTTGGAATCCGAGCATGTCTGGGCAGACGGGTGGCAGAGCTGGAGATGTATCTCCTCCTGTCCAGGGTAAGAATATCCTTATTGCTGTTGCTAATGTGACCATAGATCTGCTATTTCATCATTCATTTCTGATTTTCTGCAGGTTAATAAATAGAGGTATATGTGTACGTTTCTCAGTTACTTTTTCATTTCTTTTGCAAATACAGTGTTTTAAATGTCATTATATGGCCAAATGTACATGGAGACATGAACATTACACCCATATGTGAGTGCAGAACATCCATCCATTCATCCATTTTCAGTGCAAGGATTTGAGGCTAGTTTATAAAAAGAACGACGTGCTGATCAGATTTGACCTTTGCAACGTCATTTTCACTCTTTATATGAACAACTGTAAAACTAGGAATTTAAAAGGGCCAGCATTACTAAATGTAGAACTGAATGGAATATCATCTGAGATGATAAAGTTGGCTAAACATTGGAGTAGTAGTAGTTTATACATAAGATAGAAACTGAGTGTAATGCCCCCTTTGGGTCAATAGAGGCATTGTTACTTTTAAGTGGAGCTGCAGTTTGGGGGGTGGTTTTAAGCAGAAAAATCCAGGCAAGAGATCTCAACTCAATAGAAGAGGATATGTGGAAAACCACAGTGGCTGATGGTGGTTAGTCAGAGATGCACAGCGCAAATTTACACACTACAAAATCAAACACAGGTATTATTACACACCACTTAAGCTTCAAAGAATGGGACTTATGGAGTATGATTATTGCTGGAAGTGTCAAAAGAAGGTTGGTCCTTTTTTTCGTTGGTTGTGGGAATGTCCATTTCTCCTTTGTTTTAGAATAAACCATTACCTGAATCTCCCCAGTGGTGTTTAGTAGGACACAGGTCTCTCTTACCACCAGGTATATCCAGACATTTGGCCTGGCACTGGCAGGGTTTGTTGGTGGTTCAAGGACTGTTCTCCCCGACATTGAAAGAGTCAGACAGAATTGTTAATCACAAAGACTAATAATTACCAAGGAAAGGTTATTGAAGTCTGCTAGAATTTTTTAATGTACATAAAGAAAGAAACATAATGACATAACAACAAAATGAAAATATTCATACATTTACATTTTGTATTCTCTTATTTATTTTTGAAGTACAAAGTAAAAGAACTTTGCCCAGATGTGCTTTTTTTGTACGTTTGCTTGGTCAATCAATCTACATTGACATACTCTGTGTGTTGTCTTATGTTGCTTTATGCTCTTTATAAAGTAGAAAACTTGAAAATGTGATTTGGTATTGATATAACAATATTAAGCACAGCCGGAGCAAGAGGAAAACAATACCTCTACATGAGCAACACAACCAGTTACACCTAAAAGGACTAATCAATTGCACTCTGATCCATGTGAAGGGGTACACTGTGAAGAGTTTGCACCTGTAAACATTCAGGTTTTGAGATTGGTGATAAAAGTGCAACAGTTTTATTTTCTCAGAGTTTTAAAATAATTAAGGTTTTAATGTCACTGTTTAAATAGACAGTAGATTAGACTGTGCAGTTTGCTCTGCCCGAAAACAAAAAGAATTTTAATTTTAAAATGAAAAGTTATTTTGAACATTTAAAATAATGAAGTTGCCTCCCTGAATATTTTGTAAAAAGTCATATTTCCTGAGTCCTCAGTGGTCTGATGATTGTAGTATATGTTTGCAGATGATTCTGTTGTTCTGTGTATTTTCTTTGTTTGCATTAGTCATTTTTTGACTCCTGCAGCATCCAAACCAACAAGTTACTACTTTGTGAATAAGGTTCCCTCTGTTTTCACTCCCTGGATAGCTTTTGTAGTTATATTCAAAGAGCAGCGTTGACCTGTAATAACTGTGCAACCAGAGCACAGAGGTCTGGCTGTTCTTCTTCTGTAAAAACTTGACAGTGGGGTGGTCTGACTTTGGACTGAGTCCCCTCAGCCAAAAACCACAGTAATAAGTTAGTCAGCTGGTGAATAATTGGTAATCATTAACTGGAATGTGGACTGTGTCTGCACTCCTGTGCCCCACATAAATAAGTACCCTGCCAAAATTATAATTTCATTATTTCTACTTTGAGCAAATTGTTCTTTTTTCTATTTTTAAAGTTGATAAAACACTACGAGGTGAGGCCGGATCCTGCTGGAACCACGGTCAAGCCGATCACCAGAACCCTGCTTTGCCCTGCTAAGCCAATCAACCTGCAGTTTCTGGACAGAAGAGTCCAGCAAGAGGAGCAGAGAGCAGCGGCAGGAGTTTCTCTGTGAGCTGTTTTAGTATTCACACTGTGTTGTCTGCCTGTCCCCGAGCACTTGTTTATAGGCCTGGCTGGAATGCGCCTAAACTGTGGCATAAAATTCAAGCTGATTGTAGATGTGGAAGGTTGTACAGTGAAGAGTACAATGCTGTATGTAATGTGAATTATTTAGTTTCCGTTCCACAAATGCCATGTGTTTTTTCAATTGTCAGGCCTCAGAGCCAAACCTGATTACAGTAGGGCTGACTGGAGTTTACATGTTCTACTCACACCAAACTCCTGCAGGGCAAATCTTGACTTATTCTATATTTTTCTTACAACAAATTCCATGAAAAGACCAAAACTAATAATGTGTTAGTCTTTCTCTCAATACTTTCAGATTCCTTTGCTGTGGTCCCAAGCCCACCGGTTCCTACTGAAAACATACAGTACTGGGCCTAAAAGCTTCTAAGATGGTTTCTGTTAGAGTAATTTTAAAACTTATATCTATATATAGTAATTATTTTTTGTACATAAAGAAATGTATTTTTATGTTTTAACAGTGTTTACAATTATGATTTTGTTTTACAATTAAATTTCCCAGTTTGTTATTTGTATTGGCCAATGTAATGTCATGTAATGTGTCAGTGGGTTGAAAATACCTATAACATCAAGTTTCTAAACCAGTACACAATGTGTAGAGAGGTTTAAGTCTCCTTCCAACAGTGCGAGTATCATTCTGGGTTTGAATCTCTACCACAGCATTCACCTCTGTCTTCTGATGTTGTCTAATAAAATTGTAGCAGAAATGCCACAGATGTGTATTCTAAGCGTTACTTGTTTATTTACATCGTGTAAGACTGAAGCTGTGTCCCAGTTTCATCTAAAGGACTGAATCTAAGCAGGTTGTAACTAAATAGTGTATTCACACAGAGAATGACAAAGTACAATAAACTCAAAAACATTAGTATGCAGAATAAGAAACGCATATGTTTGGACTGTGCTGTTGATTGACTCTACTGTCCCATAATGCAATGCACAAGGGGAATAAAGGCGCTTCTCACAGCTGCTTGAAATGACAGATGGTGGTGAGACAGATGTAGAGAGATTTTGGAAACAAAAAAGCTCAAAATATTTGGCAGGCATTATAGAGTTTTATTAAGACCTGCATACATATTGTATTGTTTCCTCTTGGTAAAGTGACCGGTATGTCATTTAGGTATTTTTCTTCTTCTTCAAATTCAAAAACATCACAAATTCATTGACACATATAAGAAAAGAACGACTGACAAACAAAGACGCTGTTGCATGACAATCTGCTTATTTGCCTTGACATAACAAGAAACTGTTCTTTGTCTCCATCTGGTGGTTAAAATGTTTTACTATTGCAGCTTTTATTTTGAAAGTAGAAGGTCTACAGGTAACAGGATGACCCTTCATTTCCAGGTTTGTGCTCAGGGGGAATCAATGTATCAAAAGTATTAACTATTTTACCTTTACCTTTTGTGTTTATTTGTTCAGCTGTGTTGTCATAGTTCATAATAAAGCTGATTCTGATATCTTATAGCAAGAATAGTTTTTCTTAAATAAACAGAATAATTTGGTTTCTTATTGGCTAATCGCAATAAAATATGTCCTACCAGGAAAAATATCTTGTTATAACCTGAAAAGGACCTTGTAGAAACAGAAGTAAACAACTATTTTTCATCACGGTGGTGGCAATGCGCCACCATGTAATTGTTGAAAATACAGTGCTCACTGTTGGTTGCAGGAGCAGAAGGGGTTCAATTCAATTCAATTCAATTTTATTTGTATAGCGCCAATTCATAACAGAAGTTATCTCCAGGACACTTTTCAAATAGAGCAGG